CAAAAGTAAAATATATAATAAATGCATTTGATTGGTAAAACAAATTCAAATGTGACGTTTTAATCTCTAATGGCAATGCATGGAATTTACGGAAAACTCCACTAAATAATAGCGCTAAAAAGTGAGGGGCGTGGTGGGGCTTTGGCAATCGGCTTCAGCCCCGCCTAGCCCAATGGTTAATGCGGCCCTGGTCCTCTGAGGGGTTTGCATCATCTCTTATATAACTGCAGTACAAGATTATGAGATGCATTATTTGAATACTTGGCCAAAGAGATGTGTCTTTAAAGGGTTACTCCACCCCAAAATGAAAATTTTGTCATTAATCACTTACCAAATAATCCAACTGTCATCAGTGGTTCAATCTGAATTTTATGAAGCGACGAGAATACTTTTTGTACGCAAAGGAAACAAAAATAATGACTTTGTTCAACAATTCTTCTCCTCCAAACACCGTAGTGCCATTTTGGATAGTATCCACTGAACGTAAACTGCATATGCTGTTCTACTTGTCTGTGTCAGACGCACCACACGGATATGTTTTCTACGTGTATTTAATAAGCTTTTACGGGTTTGGAATGACATGGGGGTAAGTGATTAATGATAAAATTTTCATTTTGGGGTGGAGTAACCCTTTAATCTAGATTTAAACAGAGAGAGTGTGTCTGAACCCCGAACGTTATCAGGAAGGCTATTCCAGAGTTTGGGAGCCAAATGCAAAAAAGCTCTACCTCCTTTAGTGGACTTTGCTATCCTACGTCTCTTGTTGTGATGTTGGGTGCCAGAATCGACGTAATACAGCCTCAAATTAGAAATTTGATCGCATATCTGCTGCCACTGCCAGACAAAAAAAACGATTACAGCTGTGGTTAAACGCGATAAAACGAGCGGACTGGGGACAGAAAGGATCGTCAAAAATGCTTGCGTTTGCAGCGCACACTTCTTATCAGAAAAGGTTCAATAAAGTATTGTCTTTTGTTGTTATGGGCGCGTCTACAGATTTCTTGCCATATGCCTATGTTTCTTGCACCTCACGATTATGTCGTGTAT